GCCGCAGAGTCACGACCACCACTACACACAGACGCCCACCCAACAACACACATACTACATACCCTGCACTGCAGATAGAGCCTAGGCCCTACATGTATTTCGGGATCGATATTAAAATAACCTTCATTTTTCGGAAGACTGCTTAGTACCAAAACCTATTAACTATAATTTTTTTAGTATTATTATTAAAGAACTGAAGCTTACTTGAAAGAAAACGTAATTTTTATGCACCGATTCTGTTCCAAATCTTCGCGGCGAAAACTTCGGGCCCCATCCATTCCCATGTGATTTCTAATTTCGTTAATATTTGTTGAAATTTATTTACTCAACTGACATCCATCTCATTGAATAAGGTCGGCCGGCACTGGATGCAAAAGATCGTAACATGGAGGATAAACGAGGCGGTTCTACCACGGATCTAGGCCTGCCTTGCCCTGAGTTGTTATTTTGATAAACAACTTAAATAACAACTCCTTGGCCTTGTTTATGACATTTTATGGCTGAGCGAGCGCCAAAGTATATTGGCTTAAGATAAGAAATTTTGTTTCATTGCTCTATGACATCGTGGAAATCACATTTTTCGTGAAATTTTCGGGATATTTAAAAAAAATCGGGAGATATTAATAAAAATCGGGAGGGCGGGAGACGGCCTAAAAAATCGGGAGAAACCCGCAATTCTCGGGAGAATTGGGATCTCTGGTATTGTCTTGCATTTGTCCTCTTATGTTAATCTAAAAATATAATTACTAATATACAGAGAACAAATGCAAGACAAAAATCATAAATTATTACCCATTTTAAACAAGAACTTGAATATTCAAACGATATGTGATGTAATAGATTTTCTTCTTCAAGCATTTAAGAAAAAGTACAATAAGCTCTTGGCAGTGAAATAATTTCTTTATGGCAATTCAGTTATTATTATTGACAACACTAAAGGCATGAAAACATTAGAAGTGCCTCTGAGGCATTCTGTATGTTTTGTTTGAAATTAAATGTTTTTGCAAGAAAAGTAGAAATATCATTCTATGTAGTATTACTGCTACTGTATAAATAATGAAAAAAATCTCAAATTTGTTGTGTATTGTGCTATAAATTTAAAAAATATGTTGCCAGTATAAACTTTATCATCAATTTTGTTGTAAAGATGCACTTTTAAGCAAATCCTTCCTTCCTTTTGGAAAGTATGTATTGGCAAGATCCAAGGTTTAAGGTTTTTTTTAATTTTCAATCACATGCTTTGGGATATGTTACAGTATGTGATGTTCCAATCCATGACGATGGTGTTATTCATTCTGAGTGGTTCAATGAAAATTGCAAACAGGGATTGCGCCAAGATTTTCCTAACAGGGATGGCGCCAGAATTTGTCCAACAGGGATGGTGCCAGGATTTGCCGAACAAGGGTGTTGATGTCCCTTAAAGGAAAGTGAAATAAGCATTGTTGAAGGTCACTCAGAATCTTTTGGAAGTCCTTTTGGATGTGCTAAATTTTTATTCTCCCCAATAAATTTTAATTTTTCTCTTTGTCAAGAGCCACCTCTCCCCAATAGGGAGCCTGGAGGCTCCACCCTTGATTGCCAAAAATATATGAATGAAACGCCAAAGAATCTTAATGTTATCCATGCCATCAATGATCAGTAATATAGTTTTCACCATCTTCGTCATTATCCCGTCATTGTTGTCTTCGTCGTCGTTGTCGCTGTGCCCTTTATTTCTTGTTTTTGATTGCATATTAGATATTCTTTTGTAAAGAAAAATACTTGGTAATGGTTGATGTTAAATACAGATTTTTAAATATTTAAAAACTGGTAGGAAAAGGGGCATAACAATCACCCTTCCACCTTTCTCCCCCCAGTTTAAAAAAAAAAAAATCTGTATCTCATTAAAACCGTTTGAGTTTTTCGTCAAACACCATTTTAATGTCTTAGAAAAAACATCAAAATGGTTTTACCCTCTGATGCCTGGCTTTATTTTGTGCTTCTGTTTTAACATGTTGACTGCCAGACCTTTTTTTACAGTTCCTTCCCGTGTGCCAAAACAAGTTTACATGTACAAACATACTTTTTTGAAATTTTATCTAGTCATATATCATCAAAATGATATGTCTAATAAATTGGCGGGAAAATATTAAGATGCGAGTATACTCGTCGATGGCACTGTGATAGAACTTTTTGCTGACTATGCCAAGTGCGAGTTATCTCATCCTCTTTTTGCATGGGTTGGTATATGTTCAAAGGGCACCCCCACTTGTACCGCTCGAGTGTACTACCGGCAACATAACACAACAAACATACATATGTCATTTGTACGTTATCGTCTAGGTGTATCTTCCCCAAACTACCAGCCTTTGAGTCTGTGGTCCTACAATGTATAATAAATAAGTTATAAACGCTAGAATGTTCTCCCGTTTTTGATGAGTATACTCATTCCTGGCGCCCTCAGCAACACCCTGTGGGCGAGTATACTCGTCGCTGGCAGCCAATGTGTTAAAGAAATTCCAAAAAATATTATAATTATCAAGAAACATGTTTTTTTTTTTTAAATGTTAGCCTATTTGGTAACATAAATATATGGAATAACCATTACAAAATAAACAATGAATTACAGTGTCTATTGTAAGTGTGTTTTTATCTTGCAAAACCTGTAGTTCATGCTTCTTGGTGTAGAAGTATGTTTGCGTTTACTTCATTCAGTCAATTGATCATCGCAATTAAGGTACTATGGTGTTGCATGAATATTACGTCTGGATGACCTTGACCCAGAATGAATACACAAAATTTATGTGCATGATATATGACAACATTACAGTAGGTCATGTGACAACAATTAGGTCATGTGACAACAAGACAATGTTCCAGTCTTGGAATATTGCCAAGAATGGAAGCTGATCAAATTGAATATGAAATTTGTGTCCATCTTATTTTTTTATCCTCATCTTGCAATGAACTCCCTAGCCAATTACAGCAGAGAGAGTAAAAATTACAATGACAGTGGAATGATGATAGCAATATTACATACAAAAATGCAAGATAATTTGATTGAGATTAACCTATACAAAATTGATTCTAGTTGAGTATAGGCCTAGTGTGTTTATTGTTAAGTATGGTCTTTTTTGGTTCGGGGGTGGTTTTTTTTGCGTAAAATGGATACATAATACTCAAATAAACATCCCTTAATTGCTCTGTAAATATGGAATTACAACACAATTACTGCCAAATGTTTAATTGCGTGATCATAAAACTTAAACTTAATCTCAACCAGGTTAGAAAAAAAATGTAGTTCTACTGGAGTAGAAGATTAATAGAATGTGTTGAGAATGGTATTGCTTCCATTAGGTTTGTTTATATTCATTTGGGAGAGAGGTGGATGGCATTTACTCTAGGAAAAATAAATGCCTTGGGGTGTTAATTTGAGGAGGTAATTATTCCAAATGAAGCTTTAGAGGGGATGTTTATTGAGGTTGTATTCAAATCAGGGAATTTAAATAAATGCGGTATATAAAAATGAATAAAATTATACATCTACTTCGTGAATACTTATTCTCCTAAATACTGTAATATTATAAATACAAATAAATAGTAAAAAAGCATACCATTAGATTAGGACAATTTTTTATTGGAATGAACCAACAAGTCATAGTTTGCAGTATAATGACATAGACCCTATGGGAAACTGACTGACATGCTGAACATGTTTATCTATATGAATAATGGATACTGAGCTGTTTAGAATGCATTGTTCCATGGAAAAAGGCAAAAAAGTTTAAAATCAATTTTGAACCTGCTCATATTATAAAATCTATACCTCTACTGTGCATTTTAAATTACATATTTTTATTGATATTGAATTTATATAATAGTAAAAAAAAATACACAGGCCTAACCAATTTCAAGTATGATGTGATGTCATCATGACCATATTTAGGTATGCCATATGTTTTAGTCATTAGAAAAAAGATAGTGGTGTCATAAGATTTGAACCCCGCACCTTGTGATTTGAAGGAAAACATCTCAACTACCGAGTTGTAGTTCCACCCTACCGTACTTCAATTATGTGTGTAATATGATATGGCATGTTTACATGATATTTATATTTATGATATTTCAATATTTTTTTTCCTCCATTGCAGCATCTTTACTATGCCTTCGGAGGGAGCAACAAGGGCATAGTATTCAAAGAGCTTTTATGTGGACTGGTTTTACTCACTAAAGGAAAACGCATTGAGAAAATTAAATGTAAGTATACCGCTTCCTTTTATATTTGTTAGTAAATACATGGATTAGAACAGATTTGCTTACATAGAACAGATTTCCCCTACATATTAAAAGTCTTCATTTGGTTGCCTGTTATTAATAATTCAATTCCATACTCGTTCATTCTCCACTGTTCGACGCTATACATGGACCAATCCATTTACTCTTATTATTCCCCCTCTGCAGACGCCATAGCTGGGGGCTTCTAGTAGGGGATTCTTAATCATTAACTACTACAAATGTAAATATTCAAATTAATGTACGTACAGTTGTTTCATTCATAATTGAAATAGTTCGCCCACCTCCCCCATCGTACATGGACATGACAGGCACACAGTGGACCCCAGGGAGGTTCCCAGCAATGGCGGCGCCAGTAGAGAGCGCCCTCTCCTAAATGGATTTATTTATACTCTACAAGGTTACCATTTTCATTAATGTCTCATTCCATCCCATTACGTATACTGCAGACATATGCTTCTATTCGATCTGTTGCCGCCCCTTGATTATCTTGATATTAATAGAAAGTAGGTAATTAGGCTTATACTCTGCTCATCATTGATTAAAGGTGCTTTTCTTTTTGTTTTGGTTAATATCTTAAACCTCATCTTATCATTTGTAACATTCATCTTTTTTACAAATCTGCTATACTCCTCTGCTTTATCTACTTTTTTGATAGCATAATGTAGCATTCCTAGGTGATGTTACGATATATTAAATCTCTACATTATTAATAAAAGACTAATGCATTGAAAGTGATATGCTCTGACTTCTACTACTCTGCATTGATGCGACCCAGTACATGTACTGTACATGGGAAGATAAAATCAAATTACGTGCCATAGTATCATAGCTTTATAGTTATGTTTAATAGTTTGCAGTTCCAACATTGAAGTTCAAATTGCAGTCTGAAAAGAGCTTGTAAGTGTTTCAAAAAAACAGAAAAAAATTCCATGATTTTTAAAATTTCAACAAACATTTGAAAATGTTGATACTTTCTTTTTGTATGTACAATAATTTACGTTCATGTACTCTCTTTGTGAATGTATGGTTGAATAATATTATTGAATCAGTCTGTATTGGATTGGCATTTTTTTGTGTAATACACAAAGTTTAACTAATAAAAGTCTAAAACCTTACTACAGTGGAGTCCTTCTTTTGGTGAATTGGGCAGTACACAGGGAAACAAACTTCTACTAATTGTATTTTCGGAAAAGTGTACTGTGTTCTTAACATACAGTACACATAGAACCGAAAGCTGTCGGTGATAGCTTGTAGCAATTGTATGGAAACCATGCTTGATAGATATTTTATGTAGCTTAGTTGTATGCATACTGGTTATCCTGCCCTCCAGTATTTCTGTGAGGGGGAGGGGGAGATTGTTCTTAACCTCTCATAGTGCCTCTCTCTTTATTAATACCAAAGCCACTTAGTATTTATAGCATTTCCTCCTTCCCCCTGCTTCAAACATCACACCATTTTTATAAATCTCTGACATATAATGTTTTCGTTTCTTTTCTATAGTCATTTTTCAATTGTGTGCCAATGAAGCACGAACGTATATTTCAGTCTACTATATGAAACAAGGAGAGCAGCAGTTGGAAATAAATGGGGATCTATGTTGTATCCATTGGTTCTGTGAACACATGGTGGCTGCCACCAGTTATTTAGCCGATGGAACTAAGCTACTCTCATGTAGAGTATCATGCTGCTTAGATACAGTAAATCCCGGTTTCCTTGAAATCACTACACTGTTGCTACAGTGTTTTGAATGCAATCGTTGTATTGCGTGGGAGTCCCCGCCGCAATCAGGAAGGCTCCCCGATTGGACCAACCAATCAACATCACCGAAAGCTGTCGGTGATAGCTTGTAGCAATTGTATGGAAACCATGCTTGATAGATATTTTATGTAGCTTAGTTGTATGCATACTGGTTATCCTGCCCTCCAGTATTTCTGTGAGGGGGAGGGGGAGATTGTTCTTAACCTCTCATAGTGCCTCTCTCTTTATTAATACCAAAGCCACTTAGTATTTATAGCATTTCCTCCTTCCCCCTGCTTCAAACATCACACCATTTTTATAAATCTCTGACATATAATGTTTTCGTTTCTTTTCTATAGTCATTTTTCAATTGTGTGCCAATGAAGCGGGAATGCATGTCAACCGTGATGATTTACAGAACTTCATTCTCGCGTGTGATGGTGGCCCAGTGCCAATAGAAGTCAAACAGCTGTTCCGAGGGGTAAGTAAAATTCAGTTGTTTGCTGGAGCTATATTTGCACTTACGGGAAAGAAATGGGAGTTAATCTTGTGCTGTTTAATATTCTTTTTAGTGTAAATTATAATTTAGCATTATTCACTTTTGTTGAACTGTGATATGTTGATTTATTTATAATATCACTAACAATCCAAGGAGTTTCTCTTTTTTATATTTATTGAATTATACTTGTCCATCAGGCAAAATGACCATCATTAAATATGGATTTAATTCAGATAAAAATATTAAAAATGCAAGATTTTATAAGGATAGAAATGTGCTTAATGTGCATGGTATCAGATAATATTATTGATAATAAATTTCATATGTAATACTTCAACACTTGTGCGTTGGCTAGAAATTTATTGATTACAAGTGAAAGTTAAGTTTGCATCTGACAAACAATCAAGTTTATTAGAAAGGCTTGACACAAATCTTAAATTATTTCTTTGAATGTGTTATATCATTTTATGTATTGGGAAGATTTGGGGGCATGGGGGACAAGCTGGGCCCCCCTTTTGGAAAGTAAAAAAAGGGGGGAAAAAGAAAAAGGTCATTTCAGGGCGCGTCTAGTAAACAAAAATATCGCAGGGGCATGCCCTGGACCCTTTGTGGTAGTGTTGTCTCTCGATTTCCCCTCCCCTTTCGGACATCTCAGGATCCACCCTGATTACTGTACACTAGCAATGTTAGATCCAAACTGAGTATAATTCTAGTGTTTTCAAAAAATAACAATTGTTTATGATTATTAATAAATTATAAACATGTATAGTGCAAAATAGTTTGTTACGGTAATTGTCAAAAAAAGGACCAGATTGTAAACTGAAAATAGCCTTAACAAGACTGAGAACAAACACCACTTCCTCTTGGCAGTACAGTAGATTGTGTTATTACAAGCCTAGCCATCTCTTAACTCGCACCCTCAATAACGAAAGTCCATGAGGTTTAGAATTGACTCATTATAAAATGTGTAGGCCAGTAATTATTATCAATTGATCGTTGTTCAAGTACTTTATATCAGCTTGGACTAGCGTAATTCAGGAAAGCTATGCCTGATGTCTATTATTAGAGATTTTATGGAACATAAAATTTATTTTCAGACATGGAAACTCATGAAAATATATCAATTATAAATTTAGAAAACTCATTCAAATTAATTTAAAAGAAAAATCATATACAAATATATATTAAAAAGAAAATCACATTTGCAGTCTACATAAACTACAAAGGTTAAAATATCTTATTGGTTGGGTTTCTGACATGATTGTTATTGGTGTATTGTAATAGAAAGTGAACTTGATGACTCATATCATGCCAAACAAATGACAAGCCAAATATCTCAGCTGCATTTCACAATTTTCGATCATTTCAACATATTTTACTCTTATTTACTGTACATATAAAAGCCATCTAAGTTGTTAATACTATTAATTTATAATTATTTGTTGCTAAATCTCGATATTTAGTATTAAACTTACAAACTATGCATGCTATCAAATAATATGAATGTCACTCCGCCAACATAAAGCAATTTCATTCTATGTTTTGCTTTTATTTAAGCATCATCCGGAATAACACAAATACAAAGGGACAAACAATATAGTACAAGTTACCAGAAATCCTAATTAATATGCATTTATTTAAATGAGGTAATTATTCAATCAGAACAAAGTATGTATCATGACCAGACTGAGAAAGTATATTAAGAATAAACAATGCTTAGTATCATCAGTATGTCAGTAATTTGTTAGTCTAGTAGCAGAGATTCACTAGCTTAATGATTAATCAATTTGTTGTGTCTCAAACTCATCAGATAATATTTGGTTTACCCGATGATATAAGCTACAGTAATCCAACTTTCAATGAACTAAAAAAAAAAACCAACTTTCAATGAACTAAAAAAAAACCACATGAATTGTGTGATCCATTATGTCTGAATTAAGCACACAATATTCAGCAAAATAAAAAAAAAAATAAAAATAAAAGTCTGATCAAACAATCAAATCTGACAGACATAACCAGATAGTGTATGCTTATGGTGCTCATGTTTAAAGTCTCTATTCATACCATAGAGATATAATAAGAATAATAGAGCGCTAACAGCAATGATAATAAATTTTCGAAAATGTTGGAAATACGCAGAGCTGTGTGTGTGTGTACCATCCAAGATGGCTGCCATAGATTCAGCCAATCAAATTTCGCCTGAGCACTATCATTTTCAATGGCACCCTCAATTTACACAGAAAGTTCAGTACAGCTAGTTACCCGTATTTTGAAACTCAAGCGTTGCGGTGTACGGGTGTAATGTACACGATTTTAATTATTTTTAATATTTGATTAAGATGTTCTACTTGGCCTCTTTTTGGCTACGACAGTTTAATAATTTGTCATTATCAATACTAATTATCATTAATGAAACAATATTCAGTCAGAGGGCTTATTTATGGTAATAATATGTATAATAAGCCTGAATGTGGCGCTTTCCTACGGCAGCCATCATGGATGGTACACATACACAACTCTGCATTGCCCCGCCATCTTGTCAGCACTCTAGTTGTTTAATAGCTCTATGATTCATACTCAAATTATATTTGACAAACAACTGCTATATGCCCATATATAGTCATGATGTGCCTATATATGGTCATGATGTGATGTCATCATGACCATACTTAGGCATGTCACATGTTTTTATAAAGTCCTGGGTTCATATCCCTCTTCAAAAAAGATGTAAATTACCACTCCAGTAATAAAAATTCGACAAAAACATTGTGTCCCCATTGATGATTTGAGTCCAGGACCTTCCAATTACCATTTGGATACCCTACCAACTGAGCTATGAAGCCAAGTGGTATACACCCTTGGATTTTTCCATTAGGACACATTTTTTCTCAAGGCATTACATAATACATTATGAATAATAGTAAATCACAGGAAATGATTGAGTAACTAACATAAGCTTGTAATGTTTAAAAAGTAAAAAAAATAAATAGATAAATTGAGGCAGTCGCAAAAACAAAACCAGGTAGTGATGAGTATCTATTTTATTATTTTTTTTGTAGAATTCATTCTGTCAAATGTAAAATTTTACACTAAATTTCTCCACTCGATATGATGCCATTGCCATTATTTGTAATTATGTTATTACTGATATTTATGTTTGATTTACGACAATTATTTTGTTGTCATGACTGCTAATTATATTTAATGATTTTTCAAATCAAGTATATAATTAGGCGATGATGATAGAATAAACTGTAAGTTTATGTTAGAGGACAATTACCTGTGAGTGTGAGATTACCTTTTGCAGCATAATCACTCAGCGATGCACAGAGTTCGTGGATTTCCTTAAAGAGATCACATCTGAGCATGTGTAAAAACCTGGTGAAATATAATAATGCATTAGATATTTTTTAAAGATGTACAATATGTAATGAGCTTAAATAAAATGTTAAATTATGAATCAATATTTGAGTTGCTTACTTTGTACAGTATTGAATAGTGCTTTTAGCTGCAAATTAGTATTTATTTATTAATTCTTTCTTTATAATATAGGCATTTTCATTACAATTACACTGATTTTCAAAGTGGTACAGTTTAAACATAACAAAAATATATATATAATATAAAGAATTGTTCAACAAAAAATAAGTATATAAATACACACAAGAATTATAAACAAGCAAGACAAGAGTCAATGAATTACATTTATATAGTATCTTGTTTTGGAATGAAAGTAACAACATATTTTGAAAGTTAATTTTTAATTCAGGAAGTTCATTCCACATTTTTGTTGCCCTGTAAACAAAAATCCGTTTCCTTGTCTATTATTCCAAGTTGAGATGACTGGATTGTTATTTGTTTGGCTACGTGCTCCTTTAGTATGGGTACTATTGTTAAAGATAATAGTTGATGTCAGATATTGAGGAGCGTAACCTTTTAAACATTTGAAAATCATGATAAGTAATATTTCATTCCAATAAATTCATTTAATATAATATTTGTCATGTCAATAATAGAGGCATACAGTACACTACAATTTCTAAAAATTTGGCTTGTAATTTTTGTATTCAAATAATATTATAATATAATACATCTTACCAATTTTATTATAGTAGTATCTTGAAAAATATTGATTTGAGGTTTATCCGAAATTTTTAAACCTTTCTACACTTTTTACCTTTTCCTATTTTACTTTGTATTTAGAATTATTGAATGGTTTTTAATGCTTAGCTTAAGATTACTTAATTTTAAATATCAATATATTTTATTGAATTATCTTTTAAGCTTCAGATTATTTTTGTATACATGTTTTGTACACTATTTAAAGTCTGTGGTTTTATTATGAAATCGCATGTCACTGATTCAAAATTGTAGTTTTTAAATAAAGTTATTATTATATCTTAAAGCTGATTTTTTTTTCATTTGCTGTTTTGGAAGTTAATCAATCAATTGAAGCATTATATATATATTTTTTTCAAATATTTATCTTTTAAAAGCACAGTTATTCTATTGAGATTTGTAGGCCTACTCCTATAGTACAAATAGAACCATGTGTTTAGTGTTTATATTCATCATTTTATGATGTTATAATAAAGTGTTCAAATAAAACCATGTGTCTAGTGTATTAATTCATTACTTTGTATCTTTTATTTAACTAAGGAACATGAAAATATTGTAAGATTACTATAGACAAAGGTATAAATTGGGAATTCCCCTTTTTGGTTATTCTAAACTGAGCTGTGGTGTAGCAGTTGTCTGGGCCTGCTGAGACAAACTAAAACCATGCGCGCTGCACTTGGCTATCCAAACAATTCACGTTCATTTGCAAAATTATGCCTACCTAGCTAGTAAACTTTGTGTAGAAAATTTGTTCAGATGATTTTTCCACACAAAGCAAGTAGGAAAGAAATTATTTTGAGCACCGTCGGTAGTTGTTCATCTCGCTCAGTTCACATGGTTTTAGATTATAACAGCCCGTTAATTAGACTCAATCAACGTTGCTGTTTAATGCAAATACTTCGCATATGGTTTGTTTATTGTTATAGACAGAAAGTAACAAATCTATTTACTTTATGGTGGCCCTGACAAGGGCCGTTTGTTTTGGGGGCATTCCACAGTATTTGCGACGCAATATGAAAAATTTCATATTCACTTTTGTACATTAAATTTGGTCTATTCAGAAAGTCTATACATTAAATTATATGAAAATATATAATTTTAAAATTTTTGATGGCCACCTCAGAATTTAATTAACATTTATTAAGAAAAATGTAAATTATGTGTCACGGACATTACATAATTAATTCTGTCATATTTTCAACAAAATAAATTTTTCCAAAAATTTTTTTGTGGGATATAGTTATCCAAAGTACCCTTTGTAATTTATCATATGTTTAAAAAAAAAATCTTTAAATATTATTTTCGTAATTGCTGTCTCAAACAGTAAAAGTAAGTCCGTGACATTTTGAGTGACATTTTTTAAATTTTATTACAGATGTAGTGCAATCTTGTTTTCATTGTGTAATCTATAAAATATAGCTCTTTATATTTTCAAATTTGTAATGTCCGTGACAAAAAAATACTGTGGAATGCCCCTTTGAATATTTTGGGGGTTTTTGATGACGTCATCATCAGTATGAGGCGTACATAAAACTGAGGTATAACTACTGTAGGGTACGTAAAAATGAGGTTGTACTGTATCACAAACTGGGGGCATCCTTCAAAAGAACGTAAAAGGCATTTGTAAATATGGTGCTAACCTGCAGTAGTAGTTTTTTAGCGTTCCATTGCAAAAATCAGGGCAGTCGGACCACTTGCAATTCTATACTCTGCTGGATCTATCATACTCGTGCGAAGTTCATTGTGATGTCATTACCTTTTGGTTTAGTCTGTTTCAAGCTTGGTAGATATATTTTATACATCAAGGGAATATTTTCAATATTGTACAACTAAATATAATCACAAAATGCAGAAAAGGGTGGTGGTGACTAGTGTTTTTAACTGGAAAATCTGTAAAATGTTGTTTAATCCTAATGAGGTATACTGATCTCTTAGTCCCAGGGTAAATATGCAAGACAAAAAGAAACAAATTTTAGTATTGTACATGCGTTTTATTATACTCTATGACAATGAATAAATGAGTCTTGGATCTTGAATCTTCTTGACTTGTTCTATGTAATTAAACATATTTTAAATTTTCCATAGGCTGACCATGTATCATATGAGCAGTTTTGCTCCTGGCTTCTCAACCATACCGGGGTCATGAAGATTTCCTCCTGGCTCCTAGAAGATACACAGCGCCAAGGCCTCAGACTGTCAGACGATGGAGACACACCCACCTTCTACCAAACACTAGCTGGTGTCACGCACTGTAAGTCACGGTCCTAAACAGTGGTATACTCTACCTATCACTCTCCAGGACCCAGTTAAATTTAATGTTAGATTCAAACATTTATGAAACAAATCATCTTGTAACCGATACAGAACTGTTCTCTCATTTTCTATCCAATTGTAATCATTTCTTGGATTCACTTTTTCAGTGATTTGGGTTGAATAATGTTGTTGTGTTGTCTGATTTTTGACTCTCCACGAAGGTCAAGGTTCAAAAATCTCAAGCAAACAACCTTCTACTACTCTCTACCTAGTAGTAAAGACTCATTATAACCCATGTAGCACAGGGCTATGCAAGAAACTTCAATGTTGAATAGATAATCCTAAACATTAAATAATAATAATAATAATAATATAAATTATTATTATTATTGTTGTTATTGTTATTATTATTATTATTATTATTATTCTAAACCTACCTTAAGGAAAACTTAAATAACACAAAAGATATTCCCCTTAAGTCCGATGTAGTGAAATTATTATTATTAATATTATTATTATTATTTTTATAATTATTAAATGATTTATTTATTGTAGTGGAAGAAGTTGATATAATTGAGCTTGAGAAGAAATATTGGATGCTACAAGCTCAGTCGAAGACAGGACGCTTTGATCTAGAGACGTTTACACCTTTAATATCACCACCTGTACCGAAAGACCTCTGTAAAGGTATGTAGAGAATCAAAGGCACATGTGCCTCCTCAACTTTATTCTATTAGCTTTTTGACTTTCATTAAAAAAAAAACATTATTATGCTATTGTTGCTATTTCCATCAAGTTTCATTTTCTTTCTTTAATTTATTGCATCTCACAGAAAAAAACATCACAAAACATCAAATCACAAAAAGAAACAAATGCAAAAGAATGGGATCCACAGACTCTGGGTCCAAGCTAAGGGAAAACACCCTTGATGTAAAATATCTGATTTTTTTTATAGCTATTGTTGATTATTGTTGCTATCTATTTATCATTTCTGTAAAAAAAGTCTAACTCCCTCTGTCATCAGCATATTTTATCAATTAGTTTGTTTTCATTTATTGAATTGTATGTTGTCGCAGTGACATCATATAATTATTTATAAATAAATTGATAGACCTTACCCAGAACAATTATTGTTTGTTATTGATTATTGATGTTTTGCTAAGAATTATTATTATACATTATTATTGTTAATTATCATCACTGTCTTAGTAGTCATTTCATCTTTTTATCTACACCTACAATTAATTCTATTTTATTTTTATTTCATTTTATTATTACTTTTATAATTTTTGTTTTTTAAAACATTTTGTATCAATTTTTTTTGTCATGTTTTAACGTATCATGCACTCTTCCATGGTTGACGTATGCTCATTAAGCCAAATGTAAATTCCTTTCTTGATTTCGTGAAATATGAATTTGAATTTTTGTATCTTAACATAGACCAAAATATATAATAATGTATTTTTAACCTGTCATTCAGGACATTGGTTGCATAATAATTTACATTATTTAGTGAAAAGCTTCATGATACAAGAAAACATGAGTTTCTGATAATACTGTATTTCATCTAATTAGAGTTCTTTTAAATATTTATCTGGTTTTGGAGATGCAGTTATAAAGTATTAAAGTAGAAATTGTTCATCGTTGATGAGGTTTTTGTACAAGTAAACCAGATGAAAATAAAATGAATTTAATTATAAAACTTCATCAGGAGTATCATGATAATCAAATGTTCCTTAATGGATATCCAATGATAAACACTTACTTTATCTAGCAATGTTTTGCTTCCACTCTGGAAGCTTTCTCAAGCCGGTAAGTCAGCTGACGTCGTTGTGCTGCATCGTCATCCTAGATGGTGCCATCACAATTAGCTGGTCATAGAGATGACTGAGTTGGTACACCCTCTCGTCTGCGTTCATTAGCACTTCTTTACTGTTGGAAAGGACTCCATAAAACATACTAGATTAATAAGAGAATCTATTTGGATTAGAAGGAAAGGAGGCAGCAGCAGTAAAGAAATGCTAATGAACGCAGACTAAGGGGCGTACCAACTCAGTCATTTCTATGACAGCTGATTGTGATGGTGCCATCTACGGATGACACCACAGCATAACAACGTCAGCTTTCATATCGACTTAAAAAAGCTTTTAGTGTGGAAGCGAAATGTCGCTAGATAAAGTGTTTATCATTGGATTTTCTTTAAGAAATATTTGATATCAAAATGATTTTAACTTAAAAATTTATGTCAAAATACTTTAAGCAAATATTTCTTTTAATTCTGAGACTTGCTTTGAGTCTTATGGTTATGAGAAAAATTTCAATTTTAAATTGCTGTTCATAATTTTTTTGTAATTTTTAACAGTGGAACTCTTAAAAGTTTCATGTTTGTATTAATTTTTTTTTAATCCATTCTGTAATCAATAAAATAATTGCTAGTATGGAAAATATATGTTTATTGCTAGGTTTCTTCTAAATTTGTATGCTTAATTAGTTGCCAGAATCAGTTATTGTGGTTGTTATTTACAATTTTATTGTTACTATGGTGGTTAAAATATTTGCCATCTCTTTCTTGGGTTCAAGGTTCAACATTCGAATCATAAAAATTCAAATCAATAAACCTAGTGGTTGCAAGTCGCCCACATCTCGTGGATATCTCCTGGAAATTGGCACTTAGTACTGTAGTACCGTACATCTCCAGCAAATTCATGATATCTTCATGTTTTTACTATTGTCTCATTAAAATCAGTATGACATTGGTATTATCATGTGCAGCAAACTACAATTACCATAGACCATTTTATTGTGTTTATTTTGAAACAGTGCCGCCAACGTCTTGTAACTCACTAGGGGACTTCCAGCGGCCTAGCTTGAGCGGCTAGCTAGTGCGCACACACTGGTAATTATGTAGCGCAAAGTCCGAGGCCTCTGGAAGTACCCCAGTGGTAGTTGCCAGCTTATGTGAAATTTTCACTTCATATTTTGCGAAAATGGGCTATAGTATGTGTTAAGAAAGCTCTTTGAGCCAGATATCTTGAAAGTGGCATCTCCTATCTTGGGACCCCTGTAAACCTCATAATAATACTAAACTAAGAACACCACATATCACTTATATCTTAGATGAGAGAGGGTGAAAAGTGAAAAATGTAGTGTGAGTATTGGTTGCCAGGTTGTACCTCAATATAGACTATTAATTTTGTATCGATTGCCAGAATCATTAATGATGGTTTGCTATAAAATTTATTACAAAGTGAATAATAGAATGAATTGGCTTGTGTTTTTTGTTGCCAGGTTTTATCTCAATTTTACCTTTCAGCCAGCATTATTAACAATGGTTTTGATAGGAGATGCAAGATTCAATGAGGACATTATTTTCATAAATTAAAAACATGAAATATAATATTTTTTCTACCTTCCTGCAGGGATGTAATACAATAAGTTAGTAATTTATATAATAATAAGATGATACTATAATTTTATCAACTCATTATGTTGTTGTCTCTCTCTTCTTTCCTTTTGTTTGACAGAATCAATAATGATGGTTTGAGAAAATTTATTGCAAAATGAATATAAAATTATGTAATAATTACCTTTTCTATTACTGTCACTTGTTTTGCATTTATTTTCTTGGAGTATATTATTTGGTATCATTTGGGTGAGACAAATTTTGTATTTTGTTTCGCAAACCGACACTGCCAATAATGATAAATTTGAATAGAAATAAAATTATATTTTTTGCATGTTCTGTCAGTGCTGTTGCAGGAAAAATTTTGGATTTCAGAAAAAAAAAATATTTTCTTTATTATTATTGCACCAAATGTTTGATAGAAAATTTACTGAAAATTAATATTAAAGGGAATGTTTAATGTATATAATAAAGTGAATAAATAAAGTATAAATAATTATTAAGTGTAGTGAAATACAACATCAATATCTTTGTGGATGGATACAGGTACACAACAATATTCATTTTTTTCTAACGTTGCCAGGTTTATTTCATGCGTTTGATGAGAATCATGACGAGCATATAGATCTAAAAGAGATGGCTTGCGGCTTGTCAGCATGCTGCAGAGGTCCATTAACAGAGAGACAGAAATGTAAGTTCATTCATTCATCATTCATTTATCTTATACATACTGTACATTCTTTCCTATATCCCTTCATTAGGCCACTTAATTATTCATTAAAAACACTCCTTCAGTAGTTGACCAGTTTATACCGTATTTTTTACAAGACCTGTTTTGCAATTCTTCAGCCTTTGCTCGAATGGTAAAGGTCCAGACTACCAACCTCGATTTTAAATTCCTCTTTATTTATTGTTTTATTCATTCTTATTTCTTAATATTTATTCATTAATTCACTATTACATCTGTATGTTCTTTTTTCTTTATTTATATTCATTTCTTCATTTTTCCATTTGTTCAGTATTCATTCATAAATCCTTTCAGTTTTCCTTTATTTACTTGTTGATTTATTTGTTTATTCTTTATTTTACCAATAAAACATACAAATCAAAATTCAAGATGGCATGGAATGACTGGAGTTAAAAAAAACTTTGGCACTCAAGCCGGTCATTCCATCTTAGAAAATAAATTTAAAAAAAAAAACACAATACAGACATATAAATTACTTTAACTACAAATGGTTTGCACGAGGTAAAATTTGATTAAGAAATAAAGAAGATTTATAAAATACAAAATTTATTCATCAGTCAGTTACTTATTCACATAACCATGATACTGTTTTCATCAACTTCTCAATCATTTTAATAAAATATTCTTATATCTGTCATAATAATTGTTTTTAAAATTCCAGTTTGTTTTAAAATATTTGACAAAAATCGTGATGGTTTATTGGACCGACAAGAACTTGAAAGCATGTGTGCTTCCCTTATCAACATCCGTAAGGAATTACGCGCAGGAATGGAAATAGTAAGTACATATTTCCCATGGTAATTTATATAAAAACAATATTTCTTTTTTAACTTGTGGTTTTCATTGACTTGTGGTTTTCATTGACTTGTGGTTTTCATTCTTAATCTGTCTTAGTTTTGATTATTTTTTTAAGTATCTTAAATTATATTATTGCAAATAAGTTTTATTAAGCGATTTTTTTTTACATATACATATATATCTTTTTTTAACATTGTTTTTAATTATATTGTAATCATTTTAAATTAAATACTATTAAGTACTATTTATTATTATTATTATTGTTATTATTGTTATTGTTATTATTGTTATTATTATTATTATTATTATTATTATTATTATTATTAGTATTATTATTATCGTATGTTTATTCTAATGTATTTATGTAATGTATCTCCAAACAGTGCAATGGGAGACCTACCAGATAGTGATTTGGTTCACATTTTAGGAATCCTGTCTCTGCCTGTTTTGTGTTTCTTTTTTTTTCTTTAATTTTGCCTGTTTTGCAATGCAACTGGTTGTTTACCTTTGAGGCATAATAAATGAAATGAAATGAAATGTTGCTTATATAACATTCACATGTCCTCATTAAACAGAAATTGTAAAGGCATTACTTCAGTTCTAGAACATCACCTTTTGTTGCTGAAATTTATAGAATACAGTAGATTTAATTTGTTATGATACTGTATTCATTGGTGCCAAATGAATAAGGACAGAGGAAGAATTCCCCCTCCCAGTCATACTAAATTACATTATAAGTCAATCGTGATGTCATCACTGCAACTCCCAATGTTATTTGCCTATTTGGCTTGATTGTTTTTGGATTCGTGTGCAAAAAACATTCATTTTTCGTCACCGAATTGAATTGTAATTGAAAATTACTTTCGTAAAACAAGCTTAAATAGAACCTGAAGAAAGTTACTTCAAATTCAATATTAAGTACATGAACAATTAGGCAAGTCCTTGAATCAATGAACCCTAATAAGCTAAACAAACTGAACATTTAATAGGAATATTCTAGACCTATTTTAAAGATTCAAGGAACGAAATTAGATGTACTGAGGCCTACGGCCAGGCAGGACGCCGCCGGGGCTCCTCTTAGTACTACTAGCCCCAGGATAGCCTAGCGTACTGTAGTTATGAAATCATCCCACGATTTTTACCTTTCTGAACTGACCAATAAGTTAGTGACAGTGACTGTATTCTCTCTCGAATGCTTTGAAAAATGTTTATTTCTTTTACGAATGTGAAATACTAAAAGCAAGTTCTAACTCAATACAAATTACAAAATAGGCTAGGCGTAGTTATTCATCATATCCGTACTGTCAGGGTTGTTGTTAATAGCCGGTAACCGGTAAAAATTGCCGGCTGTCAGAATATTTTATCCGCCTGTAGGCTAGGGCCTAGCATAAAAATTATTTCTATAAAACTCAAAAAAACGATCAATAAATTACTGTATAAGTATAGCCTAGGCCTTGCAATTACTTACTCATCGTTTTACATAAAGAGGAGAAGGCTAGGTATTGTCTTTAGAAACAAAATAAGAAAACAAAGATATCTAAAATTGTAAACAACGATGCGACAATATATGAGTAGACAGTGGCCTACAGGGGGCCTAGCATATAGCGCGATACCTGACGGAAAGCATTTTGGTAGGCGACACTGTGCTTCACACCGCAGTCGAGCTTCATACCTCACGGTCGGTTCGGTTGTTGTTTGTTGGCCTTTCCCTACCATTGTTGAAAGACAAGTTCTGATTGGGTGATTGTGAGTCGATTACAGCTTTATTTTTTTTTCATCAAGTCAATCGCTGATGGGCCACAGAAGTTTTTCGGAAACATCTTCGTCTGTGTGGTCTATGCACGCGTGTGGTCAGAGCGGTAAAAATTTATCAACCCCCCGGCCCCTTCTTTCCATCATCGTTCCGTTCGTTAACAAGAAGAATGTCTAATATTAATAAAGATAAAGATAAACTGAAGCGACCCACAGGCTTATTTGCCTTTGGCATCGTAAAAAAACCAAAGAATGGTAAGAACCTTTGTAGAATTCGAATAATATAAATAAGAATTTTGGCAAGCGAAAAAAAAATACATGCAAATAAGAGACTAGGCCTAGGCCTAGAAGAGGTAGGGGAGGCTTAGCGTAGCCTAGTTAATCATGGCCTACCTATTATTAAACTAGGCCTAGTGCGGTGAAACGTAAGAGGTATAGGGCCTAGGGCTATTATTAATTATTTAGTGCTCTAAAAGTGCTCTAATGGCATCAGAGAGCATCTAGACCCTAGAGCTTCCGGACCCCCGGCCGAAGTGGGTGTACTCGGTGTCCATTTGCAAGTTACCTGCTGTAAAATCTTTTTTACCTGCTGTAATTTTTACTAACAACAACCCTGACTGTACTACTGATGTGTTGTTAACAAGTTCTCAGGAGCAAAAATCAGCATACGCACAGCTAAATGTAAATACGCACACAATATACTGATCATATCACTATAGCAACCGATTACTGCTACAACAGTTGGTTGTCACACAACTAGCAATAAAAGACGGTGATTGACTTACAAAGCAATTAGTAGAGCATGCATTGTACACTAGCGGAAAATTATTATACTTAGGTTAGATTTAATAATGCATTCAAAAATTTCCTTCGGGCCTTGCAGGCGCTTGGGAAATTTTTTCAAGCATTAAATCTAACCTTCGTATAATAATTTTCCTATAGTGCGCTATGCGGAGCTCTACTAATTGCTTATTAGTAATAGGTCTTCCTGATGCCTGTGATGAAGAAGCAATTTTTTTTTAGAATACTAGTAGAACAAGGCTGTGATTTGTTTTCTGATCAATGATGCGTTAATTGATAAGTGTTTAGTAGTTAAATAAACAGTAGAGGTACCGTATTATTCAGCAAAATATATAACATCAAGGTTGTAGCTGTAGAAAACTAATGGTAGGTGACAGACACTTGAGAGTGATTAGGTGATAACATTAATAAACTCTAAATAATAAGAGTGCATTTGAAGGATGGAAAAGCCAGGTAATAAGGGTGGGTGGAGGGCCATGAAATTAGCTTTAGACTGGGTGGAAAACTCCAAGGCTAGGTGGCTCCCGCCCACTATAACTACATCTGTGAAAATGAAACACTGGTGATAGCACTTACTTAACTTTATTTCACCAGCTTTTGCCAGCAGTCTATGCCGGCAAATAGTAAATATCCTACCCAAAAAATAATTCCAAATCCCAGATGGGAAACTAAAAATTAATTTTATTTGGCCTTACTGTATATTTAACAGAAAAATATAAAGAATAGTATGACAAGTTAAATAATTCTAATTGCATTGTTTACATTGATTCCAGTTCTGAACTTGGTGGTTACTGAATTTAGAATACATTAATCCACGGTTTATATTTCAAATGGTTCTTTACAATTAGATATATCCAAATTCTTATTCATGTTGCACCTAAGACGATAATCTTTCATTCTTAAATAAGAAGTCAATTTATTATTCAAACTTTAATCAGCATGGTTAGCCTGTAGTACCGTATATATCAGTGCTACAGAATAAATAGTAGACCATGTGTGGTACAAGATATATAGGCTGATAAAAGGAGGGAAATATAATGGGACAATCTAAAACAAGCAAATACAGGTGTCTTTCCAACTAAAAACTACTTCTGGACCAGGGTTCCCATTGTCTTTATCAGCTTTGGTCTCTAATAATTATAATAAAGATAAAAGATATCTGCGAATTTGGGACTTCAGAAAGTGGTCTTTATTTGGAGGTTATCTTTAATTTAAGGGAAACCTATAATTACATCCCAGAAAGTTTAAAAAACTTTATTTTGCTGACAGAAATCAGATAGAGTAGTCTTATATACATAATTAAAAAAATTATTTTTTTTCCCAGGAAATTGTTTCCCTTAATTAGTTTTACAATGCAATTCTTTAAAGCATTAATTACTATTTAACATTTAATTGGACAAGTTAATTTACATAATGAGGCAATGATTGGTGGGCATATCCTCTTGAATAGTCGTAATTGATTCGCTATAGTTTTTAGCCATAATTATTACTATATTTTACTGTAATTGACTTGGTGTTGGGATATACATCTCATTCATATTAACTCTCATTTGTCAATTTTTCATCACGGATAATGATTATTTAATTGAAGGACAATGTGATGAAATTTCATAAGAATATTTTAATATTCTATAATTTTAGTTGCATTAAATAATTTGCTCTGATATATTTTCTGTGCTAAAATAAATAAAATATTAATTCAAGGACAGTGTTATGAAATTCGATAAGAATATTTTATCATACTTAATTTTCCAATATTGATAGTATCTGTATACAATTAGCTTGAAGATTTAAAAATAGAAAATGATGATTTACATAGGGCTACTGTGTATACTGTAGTAATTAAATGTCTTAATTTCAATAATGTCCTTGTTGTAATCTCTTTTTTTTGCCATGTTTAATGCATCTACTAAACAAACAAATTTGGACATTTTTTTTAATGTGATTTTACTTCATTGTTATGTGGTCTGCTGCTGTCAAGAAATCTGCTAAATAACAATATTTTCCCCTAAGAATTAATTTTTAAATCTGATTATATAATTGTTTACATGTTATATTATTGCAATTAAGCACTAGGATTTTGAGCCAAAACCTGAATACACACTATAAATGTTTTCCCATCACTCACACACATTTTTTTATTTGCTTTTTCTACAACCATTTTGCTTATTAGGAAAACTCATTTTTATTATAATTTTTGTTCCTCTGATGATCTATGAAAAATAAAGTTTTACTAATGCAAGGTATAAAAATATTTATATTAGTTAAGAAACTAATTCAAAAGTATTGTATATTATTGCTCAGTTTTTTTTTTAGATTAATACAGGCAGTACCTTTAAGTTACCGAGTATCTAATGATAATTTGACTTAAGCTGTCATTACTTCTTCCCTTGCAGAATATGTTAATTGAAGCTTAAAAAAATATTCTATTTAATTGAGGTCAGTTGTAGATCTGATAGATTATATAGTCATAGATATTAACTTTCCATTTAATTCTTCTCATTTCCATCATAGTGGAAAGGCTATATAGTGATGTAATTATATGCTGCCCTCTAAAGTTCAAGAATGTAAATGTTAGTATAGTTGCTGCAGCAATCACTAATGTCGAGAGGAGGTGGTCTGGCAGGCTAGGGGCCAGACACAAAATGAAGAAATTGAAAATCAATGTTAATAAGGAAAGAAAATTAATCTACTATAATAGGTGTCTGTAATTACTTGAATTAGGTATTTAACTATATGAAACACTACGGTGGGCCCAGGGCTGCTCTCGGTGCCCCCGGGGCCCAGGGCTGCTCTCGGCGGCCCTGGCAGCAATGAACAGTTTATGTTTAGATTTCTTAAAGGTGGCACACTTTGTTGTAAGAGTAAAAGAATAATGTGCTGTGTTTTTTATTTTAGTTGTCAGAGAATTTTTTTAGTAATTGCCTTAAAGGATCAGTGTGTCTAAATTAAAAGGTTAATTTTCTAGTTGCAATGTCATCTGTATACATTTTGGTAAATAGTCTTAAAAGGAGCAATACATTTCTAGCTTAACATTTATCATCTATAAACTTTGATTTATTATAGTCTTAAAAACGTAGTGTATTTATAATTTAATGGCTGATTGTTTAACGGCTGATTTCTAGTTACAATGCCATTTCTACAGTTTGATATTTTATAGTCTTGAATCAATTCACTTGAATTAAAGGTCAACTATTTCTAGTTTACCATAATCTCTAATGAGTCTGCTACTGTTGTCTTTAAAAAGCAGTACATTTAAAGTTCAACCTTTGATTATGATTGTTAGAAATATTTTAAATTTAACTCCACAGTTTAAACCCAACATGGTAATTAAAAGTGGTCTGAAGTTTCACATTTATTGTTGTTTCTCAAACGTTTATTTAATGTCTTTATAAGGTGAGACTCATTACGTACTTGTTTTGTTCTCAGTAGGTTTCTGTACATGTATACTAATTCTTAATATTTTGTTGTACAAGTTTTAATCAACAAAAGACACAATGTGCTACATAAATGTCTACATATTAGCACTAAAAAAAGTTTGTGAAATATTGTGATTCAAATGTTTTTAAAGACATTGACCCCCAAAAGGCATGTTTTGCAGAATTGCTGAAATGGTGACTACAGATTTGAATAAATAACACAGATGGCACCATTGATTTAACAAATGTTCATATGTTCAAAATCACGAGACATGTTGAAATAAGGACCTTTGAGCAGTTAAACCCCTTTTCACATTAAAACGGAACATACATAGTTGTACTGAATATCCTGGCTGTTAAAATGCACACTTACTTTACATACATTTTAGAGATTAAATTATCCATTCAGGAAATTGTAAAGTGTAATAGGTATGCAGTTTTAAAACGGTTGTTTTCAAAATATTTCTGATTATTTTAATGCAACAGCAAAAGCATAAATGACCTGCATAAGCTATTCCTCAGATAATAAAAAAAAACCTTTTATAACCAAATCTCTAAAAACATGTGAACTAATCAGGATTAATTTTACATTTAGATAATATATGTTGCTATACATTTTCTAGTCTTGGCTTTTATGTACTATATAGTAATCAATAAGTTTATATGTATAATGTTCATAATCTTTAATCAAATAGAATTAAACCTTTATACATAATATTTATTTTTTTGTATTATATTTTATATGGCTGGAGATAAGTCATGTCTTTGAATCGTGATTTGAATAATTTTTGCTTTTTTGTCCTAGAACCTGTTTTTTGTCATTGGTTATTAAGTTTTTATATTATATATTAATGATTTCATAATACTGTATATGTTTTGCAAAATTGCAATCATGTGTAATAATGATGATGCTAATTCAGAATTCTTATGCATTATTGATGATGTTTGTCTAAAGTATCTAGACCACTGTCTGACATGTTAATGCCCAGACTCAACTAAGTAATTTTTAATTTCTTTATTTACTACGATGATCTACTTCTTTGTTGCATGAACTTTTCTGTTATTTTTTTTTCATCTAGTTTTTTTTTTCTGGGAGAAATTACATTAAATGTAGTTTAAGCAATCATATAAGCATTCTGATACTTAAGGTTTCTTGTAAGTATATTCATTGGTACAATTTGACACAGGTATAACTATATAAGTCCACCTCCCTATTGAGTAATTTTCATGCAAATTGCCAACTCGATAATTTACAGATTTAGGAAATGTATTTACCTTTCATAACAGGATATCAAATGAAGTAAATTGCAGTGAAATGTTATGAATTAAAGTATTTTAAACCATGAAAATAAGCAGTACAACGCATTTAGCATATCAACCCTATGCTCAAACAATAATGGCATTAGATTACAAAGACCAGCAAAAACGATGATTTCTCACATCAAATAAATTCAGGCTACTAAATTATAAACCACACAAATGTTCGTCAAATCATCACATAAACATTATAACTAAAGTATTATTGATACATTATATAATCTACCTATTGTGTAAATGAAAAAGAGAATAATAATTAATCATTTATATCAGGGAACTATAATGACCAATTACGTGACACATGCTAGTCTCGTACCAATACACCTTTACATGAGTACGGTGCAGCAGAGGTCATTCCACGTAAAATATTTGCTTTAAATTACAAACAGAAAAATACTAAATGTCAACTACTAACTAAGCCAATATTATAAACAAATAAAACATCTGAACACAGCCAGCTAAATGCAATTTATATTTATGATCAATTATTTTGAGGATCAGGGGCTTTGTGCAGAATTCTAATACTTATTAGACTGTTTTAATGTAAATGACACTTGGACAGTACACATACACAACTCTGCATTGCTTCATCGCCTAGTTAGCACTGTTTAATAGCTCTATGGCACAAACAGCTATGTTTTGTTTGTGTAAACCGCAAAAGTTCCATCTCAGTGTGATTTATTGTATCACATGATCTGTGTTCATTAAACATCCTAAAAAAACTATTCATTTGTTCAAAGAGACATGTCAAGTTTTATGGATGTAACGCCTAAGAGAATATTTTAAGTTACTAGGCGCTGAATAAATGACATTATTTATGTAAACGCAGCTACCTATTTCTACTAAACGTTTTGCCTTAATATAATTAATATACAATCCTTTTGCTTATTACCAGTCTCAATTTCTTTTTACAGCCAACACCACATGAAACCCAACATTAATTCTATTTATTACTTTTTATTTATTCTTATGTTATTCTTGATCCTAAAAAGTATAGATAAATGATTAATCAATGAATTAATCAACAGTTTGATAGATTAATATTATCTTTTGTATATTTAGAAATTTGCTGGAGAAATAAAAGAAAATCCAAATATACGAAGTGCCAGGTTCAGGGAATTGGTATGTCCTTTTTTACATCCGAATATTAAATTTCCTTATTTGGAAGGCAGTCTCCCACTCCCTATGTCTCGAAAATTGACATCCCAACATTTGCATTTACCCATGAATGATAATAAATTTTGAATTTGCTTTAGACTTTATGTAAAATCTTTCTTCTCATTCCTTAGGATTATGAAAAAATTGAGAAATTAAACCCTGTTGCCATCGCTGGAGACATCTTAGCAGCTCATGATGGTGATGAGGATGGCAGCATCACACCGGAGGAATATCAGATGTGGACAGTTAAAAGCAGTCTCCCTGATGACTTCTGTAATCTGCTCTTTGAGGTTAGATATATTTCATCATCACCATTATCAGTATTAGTTGTTTGTTATCAGCATCATTACTCAGTATCACAACTAATGATCTTTGTCAAAATCATTGTCAGTAGCATCATTGTTAATGTCATAATCATTACATTCTTCTACCAACATTATTGTAATCTTCATTTTCATCAGTGTCATTGTTATTAAAATGATCATAGTCAATCATTATTTATCATTTCATTGTCATCATCATCATTATTATCATCATCTTCATCATATCATCATCATTCATTATCATAAAAATATGGACTTATAAACCTAACTGCTCATTTGCAGGTTTGTCATGTTGTCCTGGGGCTCAGGCCTGCATCACGAGAGGAAGAGAAAAAAGTAGTGTTGGGCTGGATAGATAGGGAAAAGAGGCGTGGCCTACAAATGGGTACAACTTGGTACCTCATTGCAATAGACTGGTGGAGATCATGGAATAAATATGTCAATTACAATGTAAGTATAATCAATCAATGAATGAATCAGTATTTACCTTGAACTCCTATTCCATTGATTACAAATTACAGAATGCAAAAGTGTATACAATATTAAATGCAAATTAGAAAAAAAGATCTGTATAACATTAATGAAAACATTTAGCTAGAAGGCTCCTAAGTATCAATGAACTATAAGGCACAAAGTGAAAGTGGAAGATTATTCTAATCTTGCTTCTTCGAAAAAAATTTTTGAAATAATGTAATTCTAACTAGGGATAACCAACAGAGGAAGAAACTGGTTGGTAGAGAAAAATAAATTAGCAGCAACATGATAAACATTTCTTGTAATGTTCAGGGGAATAATTTTTATATAAACTCGGCCTATCCTTATACTTAGGACTCTCGTCAAATTTTTTGCCACAAACAAAACAAATCCTTTGCAGCACACTTTTGGATTTTTTTTCAAGATTATAAATGGGTTTGTTAAGAAGACGACAGGTAACAACTGTATTCTTAAATAGGTAGAACAATAGTGTTACAGATTATATGGGTTGATAAGCAGTAACCCTGGAAATAAAATCAAGAAATGTCCATCCCCAAGCCCTAGCAGGTTGGGGTGGGAAGTGCTCTATTTTGTATAGTACATATTAACAAAGATCTTATAAACACAAGATAGCACTCTCCGTGATTCTACACAAAACAAATGAAAGTCGATGTTCAGTAAAAAGAAGCATAAAGAGTAATTGTAATTAAGATCATAGGTGTCAAAGTTCAAAGGTAATTGTAATTGTGGGAGGGCACCCTACACAGCGTTGTTACAGAATTTACACGCAAAAATTACAGAGAATGCTAGCTTGTAGTTATAAGATCTTTGATATTAGCAACTGAAGGCAGCATACTTTGGTGTAGCAGCTTTTAATATTACTCCTTTCAAATTCATAATCAGCTCACGTACATTGATGCAAACATATCGTTCACTTAATCACATGACCTGTGCAAAAAAAATGAGCTTGTGTTAGTCCAGTTAAAAAATAAATGTAGTATCTCATATATAACATTTTTTTTAAAAAGGGACTTTCTTTTTCGACTTTTTCAAATCAAGTGGCTATTGTAGTAAAATCAATATGATTTATGTAGGCCCGAGTACAGGAAAATGAAAGTTACCACCATTAGTAAATATGTTGTTCTACCTAGTATAGACTGATTGTAATGTAGAACAAATATTTTGAAAATTGAAAATAAGAAAAGCAATATTTAAACAAAATATAACAATTAAATAAATTTAGGTAATACAGTAGCAAAAATTGAAGCAATGTGTTTGGGAATGCAAAACTAATTTATTATTTGATTTGGCCTTTCAATAAATGATGTACAAAACCAATAATTTTACAGCATCGCTATTAAAATTTCTGCACAATCTACTGTGTTATGGGACAGTTTTTTGTTATGTAATCATCACTATTCTATGCCTACTAGACTGTGAATCCTATTCAATTTGTAAAGTATAATTACTATAATAATTTGCTAATTTGTGGATTTTGCACACTGCACCAACCAGAGAGAAGATACAAGGCTCATTTTGTATAACCCTTTTCCTTAGAATTCTGTTTTAAATGAACAGCAGTTTTGTGAAAAAGTTGTTATTAGGGGATTTTTAAATTGTTGAAACAACTAGATATAATATGGTTTAATATTCTGATTCCAATTTCAAATTAAATAATTGTATACAGTTATTTGATGGTATTATTTATTCATTTTTTTTCAATAGCAAACTAACAAACATAAAAAAAAGATTATAATATGTTTACTGAATATACTGATAATGTACATTTAAATATGCATAGTTATTTTATAGTTTAAATTTCAAACAAGGAAATTTAAAATTGTTTATATACTAGCTTGTGTACTACACACTTCAAAGCTGTACCATGAACCCTTGAAATTGATTTTAGGCAGACAATAGGAATAGAGTTGTCATATAAGATAAGTAGTGATTGTTCCAACTGCTAATGTTCATGTCGCGTGGTCTTACCCCGTATACAACCAATTAACCAGTTCTTATCTCTGGCATTTTCTGAGCACTTCCAATTACATTTATCCATAGCCTAAAAGTGTGAACCACGCTACCAGTTCCCCGCTGAAGAGTAACACCCTACCTCGAAACCTACACAGCAACACTCAAGCATGGTCTAATAGGCCCGGAGGAAGTCCTAATTTCCCACGCAGGTCAACAGCTTCAAAGTCAGATAACATTCGACCTGGAAGCAGCCTCTCTGGATTATCACCGACAGGTTCTCCGCGTAGTTCTGCATATCATTATTCCCCAAGGAAAGGTGCTTATGAGTATTCAGGTATTCCACTTGTTCCAATTAGACCCGGCCCAATTAATAATGCCCCACTCATCGTACAGGATCCTAAAAAGGTGAGTTACCCCAGCATTTTAATACTGTGTAATTAATTTTTTTCATTTATGTAGATAATATTTTAGATCTTGTATAATTTTTATTCAATATTTTCAAAATTGCCTTATTTATATATTTGTCTGATAATTTATTTTGAAATTTCGAGTTCCTCCATGACAATGTTTTAAATTATTGCTCTTATTGGCTATTATTACTCAGCCTGAGTGGATGTTACTGTGTGTTTGAATTGGATTAGGACAATAACATCCAATCAGTATTAGGAATTCATTTAATTTAAGATTAGTATAAAAGCCACTGCCTTAATATTAATACTGTTGGTGTTAAAATCTAGAAAAGTCGCTTGACTGTGTGCTTGTTTTTGTAAAGCAATTTTTTTTATACATATGTATATTTTAATGGGTGTTTCAATAAATATATATATTTAATAAAAAAATATTCTACATACTGAAAACTTAAAAATGTATTCTACAAAGATGCAGTACATGTTGTCTGTTTTGTTAGAAAACAACAATGATCCGATCTGAGTTCAAAGTTCATTCTTTAATTTGTGGCGCCGTGAGCAGGATATATGAATTCCTAATATTATTATTATCAGCTTGAAAACAATTAAGTTTTCCTGGTTTACATATTTTTTGCTTCAAAATATCTTTTTTAATTAGCTAATTACCAGCCAATTTCATACAGTATGCATGAAGGATATTGAATAGCGTTATTTTGCTTGTTTCAATTTCCACAGGCTAAACTGCTGCTAGCCACTAGCAATTCCCATTGCTGCTCCCCTTGTGTTTCAGCTGGAGGGCTAAAATGCAAGTTTCAATAGGACACCATCTTCCAGATGAGACATTTAAGCCATTGGTCCTGTGGTCAATATGGCCCATGTGCATGTTAAAGAACGCAGGTCATTCCTGGTGTACTGCTAATCACCACCAGAAGTACAGCCTTCTTCGGACTTCCATGGGTTATCTTTGGAGTTGACACTGATTAAATTTGATCCAATCTAATTTTCAATTGACAGCTATAGAACTGACTTAACTATACTTGTTTCATTTTTTAAATCCAAAATAGGTCCCAGTTCTAACTAATGAAGGTGGAAGGTTAAAAAGAAGTTTGAACCCAATCATAGGCCGAGAATTTGAGATCATTCCTGATCCGGTATGGAAAGCACTGTATCAATGGTATGCAGGAGGACCAATTCTACCTAGAAATGTGAGTACAACATTGTTAGAAGTACAATAAAATAAATTTACTTCTTTTTTATGTTTTGTTTTACTTAGTATGTATTTTTCTTTTTATACTCTAGACAATTGTATTAACTTTGACTTTTTCAAAAAGAAATTAAAGGCAGCACTCAAAGAGTGTATACTGTATTTCTGCAAGTGCTATTTAAAAAAATTTTCTTTGACATTGACCTTTGGCTATTCATCCTAAATTCGATCCAACCAATATATGTGCTCCACTATATGTTACGATAATGTATTCACTAGCTTTTGCCTAATCCTGCAAACAGACAAATAGCAGTGATAACCTCTGTGGTGGAGGTGAAAATAAGAAATATATGAACAAATAAACAGGCAACACACCGTTGTGTTTCCTTTTTGTAATTAAGTAATTACATTTTACGATAATAATAAAATGTTGTGGAAACTTTTTCTTTGCAATTGTCTAGATTAGTGAATTTTATTTTTCAAGCCAGAAATGCGAGTACAAGGGTGGCCATTGTGAAATAAAGTAATCATAGACCAATATGTACCACTCCACTAAATGTTACGATGAATCATTCAGTAGTTTATTGCATAATCCTGCTAACAGACAATGAGACAAATGGCAGTGGAAATAAAAATTAGAAATATGTGAATAAATAAACAGGCAACACACCGTTGTGTTTCCTTCCTGGAATTAAGTAATTTGATTTTACGAGAATAAAAAAAAAATGTTCTAATGAGAAATATTTCTCTGCAATCTATGTGTTGTATTATTTTATTTTCTTTCTTTGCAGGTAATAACCCCAACAAAAGGTGATAGGTTACCTCATCTTGAATTGTACCCACTGAATGTGAAATTACTGCGTCACCTAACAAACACTCCTAAGCAGGGTAATGTTGGCATTGGTATGCATGCAATAGTATATTGTATATTATATATTTCTATTGCTTACTTGATGAAGCATTTAAAAACTTGACTGTTAAATAGCAGGTGGCTTGGCACTTAACATGATGCAATAATTAATATTTATGTTTATAGCTGATTGTAAGGTACTGTACAGTTACAACATGAGTCTGCCAATTCAATTTGATAATACAGTACAAATTATGTTAAGTAATTATATATGTGGCAAAGACAAGCTAAACCAGTCACTCCTCGCAAATTGTTTTTGAGATAATGGCCAAAACATGTTGGAATGTTTTGTTTTGAAATCTATTTTATTTCACTAAACTAAACTTTGTATATCTACATCATTTTGTTATTTTCCCCATATTCAACATTAAAACAGAATTTTTTAACGATTTGGTGATGGTCTCTGCCTGAGAAATGTCAGAAATCGTAAACTTTGAAGGCTGATTTTTCAATACTCTTCATAATGGAATGTCGGATTTAAATGATTTTTTTACCATTTATAACCAAGGGCTTAGTCATTAGTCAGCGAGCAATCTGGCTGTCTTTTGGACGGCCAACAATTATTTATGATGACCACTTTTACCGTGACAGCTTGGATTTCTTAGCCTACTCAGGTCAGCCTAGCCTAGTTGGGCCTGGTCTAACTTTAGCAAATACCACCCACCCACACCACTCGGGGCTTCGCCCCTCAGCTGCAAGTGATCGCCTTCCATTTTGGATGCCTATTACTTTTTTTTTTGCCTAAGCCCCTGTTTATAACTTTAATTTTACTGCTTAACCATGTATTGTTATCTAAAAATTGATTTTTGCAAGGAGTATCTGGTTTGGCTTGTCTTTGCCACATATGAATAAATGTACTTTTGAACTTGAACTAGATATAAGTGAAATATACAGAAAACAGAAACTTCCAAAGCAATTTGTCAGGAAAAGGAATCTTAGATATAAAATACATATAAAATCATAAATGTGTCAATTATTAACTTAATTTATTGCCTCATTACATAGAGAATCAACTATAATACAGACTCCCTCTATCATCTTGTTTATTTTTTTTTATATATAGGTGGGTTATCAATTGGTAGCGGTGGTATATCTTGGAATAACTCAAGCTCAACGAGTAATGCGACGACCACGCCCAAACGTTACCTTGCGTACACCGCATCATTTAGTAAAATGCATACGATACAACAGGTTCATGAATTTTTATGTGCTCGGCTTAGGGTCAGGGCCGAGGAAATGCGGCTATGGAGTCTGAAAGATGAGGTGAAAATAAGAGATTTACTGTATTTATTCGAATAAATGCCCCTTGGCATTTATTGTTGAGAAGTTTGTCTGAGGGGGCGTTTGTCTGAGGGGGCGTTTATTCAAGGGAAGCGTTTATTTTTTTTTGGTGCAAATTGGATATATATATATACTCAAACAAACGCCGCTAAATTTCACAGTAAATATGAAGTTAAACACATAATTACCATCAAAATGTGATGACATATTGATCCTAACCAGGTTAGAAAAAAATGTAATGCTACTGGAGTAGAGTATTAATAGAATTGAAATGTAGTTGAGAATGATGTTGCTTCCATTAGTTATATTTACAGTCACTTAGGGGAGTTTATTTTTTATGTTAAATGTTACACAGTACAGTTACCAGTTTTGGCATCCTTAGAGATACAATATCTTAATAGCCAGATTAAATTATTTAACTACCTGTAGAAACTAGGGATTAATTGGTTTTGACTCTTAAAGCATTTTTAAAAGAACTTAAATTATATTTCCAATAAATTTTACAATTTCTATATATATATTTATTGTTAAGGCAAATTTTACAGATTTTAAGTATTATTTCAAGTGTTCATTTATTATTTAAGTGTAATCGGAAAAGTGCATGATAGTGATTTGGTTCACTTTTAGGAATCCTGTCTCGGCCTGTTTCAGATATTTTATACTTTTACTATGTTGTATTGTAACTGGTTGTTGTTTTTTATGTGTTTTACTGAGACGAAATAAATTAAATGAAAGTATGTTATGTTATTACTATATAAAGAATGAATACCAAATTTATGTTATGACCAATAGAGGATAACCATTGGTTGTAGCTAAAACCTTGTTTTCAAATAATTCCTGGTACATTAATCCTATTGCACTATAATCTCCCTTAAATCTTTGTTTTTACAGAATAATCCAGTTTTATTAGAAGATGAACCCGTTGTACTAGAACAGCTTAAAATTGTGGACGACCAACCGATGCTCATAGAAAGTAAGTCAATTTCTGTGTTTCTTTGCGATTGGTCGAAACACTCCTTTTACATTTTTACTTTGTGTAAAATTTAACATAGAATATATATTTTTAATTTTATATTATTAAAATTTTCTACTTTCATATCATGTATCTAAGTTTTATTTTGTAATTTGAACCCAGAGAGTACACTAGTTTTAAATTTGAGCAATCTACTCAAGTTTAAATATGAGTATGACATTTTGCTTTTTTTTATCTGCTAATTTTTCTAAACTTGATTATATGTCATGTATTTGCTGTTCTGTATGATAAATAAATGATATATATCACTTCAGTCATTTCTAATAGCTAACAAATTCATATTTTGACAATTATTAAATTCATAAATATTCTAAATTATAAAATTTGGCATAAAATATTTAATATAATATATTTTGGTTATATTACATTCTAAGCATTTGTGCAATTAAATTTTAGCTAGCACTTTGTATCTGCAAAGAAAGCACTATATGACAGATGAATAAAATATATGTATTTTCTTGTAAATTAGGACTTAAGTATCAATTCAAAGATTATTCTCCCATTTTAAATTTTAAATATCATGTATTACTTAAATTGTAGTTAATATACACTTAGTGTAATTTTGTTATTCTATATTTGTTTTTTTCTAAGTTCGCAATAAAGACCTCAGTTGGCCAGAAGAAATGTCATTACTAGCAAAAAATAAACAAGATAAACACAAACAAGGTAGGAAATACAGTAAGAATAACGGAATATATGAGAAGCAATGTAGAATCAGAACATATATATGAAATTTATGTGGGTGAGAAAATTACTATGGTGAGGTTAAAATTGATTTAAGGTACGTGAAAATTGATTTTAGGAGTTGTCTGTCATGGCAAAAGTGTGTTGCCTCATGTTAAATGAACCAAGAGTGGTTGGGTAGGCCTATTCATTTCTTTGCATTGTGTTAAACTTCTATGAATATAGTAAATGATAATTTATTTTTTGAAAAGCAGAAAGGGTATGAGAAATTCCTCAGGATGTGTTTATACAAGTGAATTCCTGTTCGTATCTGTAATGCATTGTATGGTAATGCATGATTATATTAAGGTTGGGGTCATTCTCCATCATATTTACCAAATGTATATAATCATAATAATATAACTGTCAGATGATGTAATGGCGGAAGTAACAAATGTAGAGCATTCCCATCTAAAATTATCACATATTATTATAATTTGATACATAAAAACAGTTGTTAGTATCCCTTGATACTTCAAAATTGATATAATAACACTCATTGGCTGGAATGTGTCACATGTTTATTTTTGTACTTACCTTACCACAGTGTATACAGAGTTTGACAACACATGTTTCCCTTAAATCTAACTAATATCAACAGCCATTGGCTGGATTCTGTCACATGTTATCACAAGTTATTTGTCTTATTGCACTCGCACAGAAATCTTGTTTTTTTTTTAAATATTTTGTCTGAAGCAGTAAGAGGCTATACAAAACTGAAACTTATTTTAACTATCTCTGGCCACTTGAAATCAATTAACGAGCACAAATTGAAACATTTTCTGTTCCGTTGGCATTATACCTAAGCATGTTACAATGGACAATCAATAACATTAAAACTCACATCATTCTACCAGTTACCATTATATTCTTTTGTGTAGAGAGTATTACAAATTGAAGGGGGTTCAAATTTAGATGAAGGTAAACAGCAATTTTAATTATTTAAATCATTTTAAAAATGGACAAAAAATTGACACATAAAATATCTGGAAATCACAAAATTTATTGATTATTAATTAAATTTTTAAAATGTTATCTAATATTAATTATTAACATTTACAATAACAAATTTTAGAAATCCTTATAACTAGTAGTAATTTAAAATATCTATATCGATTATTATCATTTTTTTTTTGCTTATTAAAGTGCACACAGAGTGTGGTGTGACTGGTCTTAGTAACCTTGGCAATACATGTTTCCTCAACTCGGCCTTGCAGTGTATTAGTAATACTCAACCATTGACTATGTACTTCAAATCAGAATGCTACCTGTATGAACTTAACTCGTAAGTATTATCATTTATTGGGCAGCATTCAGAGCTTTTTTTAAAATTAACTATTTCACTTAATAATTTAATATATATGTATGTAGGTAATTTGAAATAAGTATTTAATAATTCTTTATTGGTCCCCATTGTAATTGGAAATCTGAAATCTGGGCAGGGTACCCACGGCAGCCCCAGTGCAGCACCACCCATCTTAACTACAAACATGTAACAGACATATGGATACAGACATTTTCCTTAACATGCATAACTCTCGATATGAGTATTATTCGTGGAGCCAAGTGATCAGACAATTAAAACCTGATGCTGGCCAGTTTTGAACTGGGATCTTCAGCAAAAGAAGCAGGGACAGTACCTCTCATCCAACTGCTCAACTCTTGTATTTCTAAATTTCCCTAAATTTGTTTTTCAGAACCAACCCATTGGGTATGAAAGGCCACATTGCAAGACGTTATGGAGAATTAGTAAATGACCTTTGGGCCGGTAATGCAAAGAGTATAGCACCTCTCAAATTAAGGGTAAAGTTTTCATTTCATTCTTTTCGATTAAATTTTTTTTTTCGGTTCTTTTTTATAATAATTAATCAGATTATACCATATTGTTATTATTATTTATTTACTATTACTTATTTCCTGGTGGTGGTGATGCTAGTGGTGGTGAAAGTGGTTGTGTGGGTGGTGGTGGTGGTACAATCATTGTCAAGCCTGGTTTCCTGAAAATCACTACACTGTTGTTGCAGTGTTGATTCAGTGCAATTGTTGTACTGTGTAATCTCTTGCATAATCTAGAAGCTCCCTGATTCGACCGACCAATTTGCATCACCGAAAGCTGTCAATTGCATGGAATCCAAGCTTAACCTAAGTATGATTGATTAAGAATATACTGTTTCTGCACCATGAATTATTCATAGAAATAATGAATTTTCATAGAAAATGAATTTTCATTACACAAATCATTTAATTTATTTTAGTCTCCTACAAGAAGACCTAAATAAATTTAATGATTGGTGTAATGAAAATTCACTCCATCTTAACCCTAGTAAGTGCCAGGCACTTCAATTTTGCTTTTGCAAAAATTCCCCTAGCCAGTTGCTTTTTCTTGGCAATTCTCAATAAAATTTTGTTGATGAAGCTAAGATACTGGGTGTCACTGTTCAAAATAACTTTAAATGGAATTCATTCATTACCGCTTTAACTAAAAAACTAATCAGAAGTTATATTTTTTGAAATGCCTTAAGAATAATGGATTTGATAGCAACGAATTAGCTATTATATGCCGTACTTATGTTAAACCCATTCTTGAGTATGCTGATGTTTTTTGGCATTCAGGTCTTACATGTAACCTTAATAACTCTATTGAAAACATTCAAAAGAAAGCTTGTCAAATAATTTTGGGACGCGACTATTGGTCATATAGTGAGGCAAATCTGTCTGCTCTTGCTGAGAGGAGGGTATCTCATTGTCTCAATTTTGCTAATGGTCATTCCAATACTAAACATTCTGCAGATCTATTACCACCTAACAGATTTAAATTAAGTGGCCAAAACCTACGAAACCGTAAGAACATTTGACGCCTTTGGCCTCTCATACAAATCAGTTTTCTGACAGTCCCATCCCTTACTTTATTGACCTTATGAATAATAATTTGTAAAATGAATAAGATTCCCTCCTCTCAGATTAATCTAGATTAAATTGAATCGATCCTTTGTTATGTATTTTTTGATATTTATAAATGATAATAGTAATCTTCCATTTAAATGTAATGTTTTTTCATGTTAAAGTTCATTTTTAACGCCAAAACTTATAATAACAATAATTTTATTATGATGACAATAGTTATCTTCAATTTTAATGTAATTTTTTTATACGTTGTATTCCCTCGTGTAATTGTAACTTGCAATTTGGCCATTGGCCACGAATTGTTACAAATGAGGAACTTGTACTTGAATTTGAATAAAATAAAGTTTACAGAAAGAGAGATAGCTGTGTTTATGGCAAAGAGCAAAAGGACTAATTCTATGTTTATTTTTTATTTTTTAACAGTGGACAATAGCAAAATATGCACCAAGGTTCAATGGTTTCCAACAGCAGGACTCGCAGGAGTTACTGGCTTTCCTTCTTGACGGCCTACATGAAGACCTAAACCGAGTACATGATAAGCCGTATGTTGAACTGAAAGACAGTGACAGCAGACCAGACGAAGAAGTTGCCAAAGAGGTAAGATCATGGTTCTTTTATACGGCCGACGTGATTCTATGAAGAACACGACGGCGCACATGGAACAGTTTTTTTTTTAAATGATGATTCGTACTCCCACCGACAGTCAGCAGACTGGCGTCGCATCATCTAACGCTCAGAGGGAACAGAGTTGGCTTCGTCGTGCGTTCAGTGTACGACGAGGTGAATCCTCAACTCAAGTCTCATAAGAGTCTATCCTTTACTGTATGTGGAGAGTCACTCATCCATGATAATGAAAAAAATAAATATTTTTTAATGGTCTGCTTATATTGTTCTTTCAGGCCTGGGAAAATCATCTACGTCGCAATAGATCCATAGTTGTAGACTTATTCCACGGTCAATTGAAATCGCAAGTGCGTTGTAAAACTTGCGGGCATGTTAGTGTTCGATTTGACCCCTTCACCTTCCTTTCACTTCCTCTTCCTATGGATAGCTCAATGCATGTTGAAATTATAGGTAAGTTAAAAATAATTTATGGATACTGATTATAATAATAATAGTCATTTATATTGTGCCTTCGTGTACGATTGAATAGAGTTGGTCATCGAACCAGCCAGAAATGCATACGTTTGCTGTATTTTGTATATAATTTTGTATACAGTTATATGCCTTTATTTCCAGAGCAAAGCAAAACAGTTGTTAGTCACAGTATGTGTGTGCTGAACCCTACAGTTCGTTACATACCATTGACTATATGGTTAATTCTTGTATTTCAGCTGGAGGGATGAAATGCAAGTTAGAATAATTCACTGTCTTTTTGTAAAATACATTTATGCCATTGGTCCTGTGTGCAATATGGCTTGGGTGCACATTAAATAATACCTTACGCTCCTCAGAAAAGATTAGAAGATTGTCTTCCTGTGTACTGTCAAATTCACCACCAATAGGATCTCACTGGAAATTTGTCTTTGATTTTCACTGCTTAAAACCAACCAGTCAATATATTAAGTAGCTCCAAACTAAATAAACACAATGATAAATTCCTTGTATTGCAGTGGTCAAGTTAGACGGATCCGTACCAATGAAATATGGTCTGCGTTTGAACATGGATGACAAATATCGAGTGTTCAAGGGAAAACTTGGTGAACTTTGCAATATTCCTGTTGATCAACTGCTCTTGGTGGAAATAGGGGGCGCTATGATCAGAGTAAGGCCACGTTTCTATTTTCGAAGTAGAGTAGCTATTTTTAAAAACATATAAATTTTACATCACGTACATTTACTCTGTATAATTAAAGTCAATGAATGAGACTTAAGAAGTGAAATTGGTAATTTTAACCCAGGGTCATCAGATAGAAGGGCAAGCAACTTCAATCCATCTTGCATTTTAAAATGTTGAAATATTTACATATCTTTCCTGCAGGGTTTTCCGTTAGAATCTCAGAAGATTCGTACATTACTAGGAGGAATCTTGTATGCATATGAAGTCCCTGCTCCTCCCCCTGATGCCATCAGCTGTAAAGTCAGCCCAGATGTCACAACCCCCACTCAAATAGGTAAGAATCACGTTACAAACTAAAAGCCCACTATTTCTGTTTGGTGTCTATCCGTATGAACAGACTCATATGACCACAATCATGGGTTTCAATCGTCTGCTTATTTTTCTTTAATCCCAAAGGTTTACCCACAAGCCCTAATACATCTTTACCACCAATCAATACCACCAACTCAGAGCATCTGGTGGTGTCTGCAACGCAGTCTCCATCTCAGAGCCCAACGCCAACTCCGAAAAACATACAAGTTTCATCACAGGCTAAGCCAAATGGTAGCATTCACCAGAACAAACCGAATGGAAAGATACCAGCAGTAAACAGCTCAAGTACACCTGTGAAACAGCACAGTAGAAACCCTAGCAATGCCAGCAGTGTAGGGCAGTCTCCAACTCAAACGCAACCTGTAGAATGGATAATTGTAGCAATGCATCGTAAAATGGTAGGAAATTTATACTTTGAATTTGGAATACAGTACAACAAATAGAAATAATTAATTTTAATAACTCTTCAATAACCAATCAATCATTCAATCATCATTTGATTGGTCAAACATCAATTATAATGCTATCAATTACAGAAGAACCAAAATATGTTAAACAAATCCATGTTTTCATCTTTTAATTAGATACGTATGGATGTATACTTCCTTGGATGGCAGAAGAGTCGACCGGGATTGTTTGGCACGCCTCTCATTTTGTCCAATCATAATGGTGTAACGAATTGTGACCTTTACGATCAGGTGTGGACACAGGTGAAGAGGTTGGTGAGCTCCCCACCTCCCTCAGAAGTAAACTCCGGTAACAAGAACCATGCTGAGGATGGGTGAGTTCAAGATTATTGACCAATCACAGCTTAGATATTGTTAAAGCTTGTCTGCTACCTTCGTATTTACAGGGCTCCCAAATTGGTAGAAGACACTTCTGGGAAAATTGTTTAAATGAGTTTTCTTAAGACGTTTATATCTTGTGCTGATAGTAGAGTATTATTTACCCTGCTGTTTCATGAATTTGTGGGGAGGTTTTTGCTTTCCCTCAAGAATGCGGGAAAACATTCCAATTTCTGGGAGACCTGGGACCTCTGTAATTATTCTGCAATTGGCTAGCTGAACCAGCTGAACCACTAGCTGACTGTAGGTCTACTTATTCTGTTACTAATTTTGATAACCATTCAAAAGCAGAAATATAACTACATTTCATCCTCAAGTTTGAGACCTGAACATTTGCGGTAGTCTCAGAGTTTGGTCTCCACATAGAGGGTTAGTTTATTGTTAATAGAGTGAAGATTGTTATTTGGTTCCTTGAAAAAGTGGTCTCGAATTAGATGGGTTTTGAATTAGAGGTTTTATTTTATAATGTTTTCTTTTTTTATGATAAACTATCGATTTTCCAAAATTTATTTTGATTATTAATGTTTATAATGTATCTCTAGTAGTAAAATTTTATTGATTATACACATTTATTTGTCTAAGTTCCTTTGATAATACAGTAGTTAATATGTTATATGTTGTTGTGTCCTGTTGCATTTTTTCATGGGGTTTTTTTCTCGTCAGAGACAGCTCCAGACAGTTTTACCCATTCACCTTGAAAGCTGTACAGAAAGATGGTCTCACATGTGCTTGGTGTCCATGGTACAGGTAAAAAGACAATCTCGCATCGTCTGTCAGTTCTCTTGCAAGTCCTCTACTGTGCTATCAGCTGCTTCTCATCACTCTCTGTATCATTCTTCTCGATGTCATCTTCAGAAACTAACAATACTTGTTAAAGTATGCGTAGGCTTATGTGAGGGTGCACTCTGCTTAGTATGTAAAGTCACATGTGAAATGAATACAACCTAAATACGCCCAAATAAAGCGCATCTCTTGAATAAGCGCCACTCTTGAAGTATGCGCTACCTGTAAACCAAATGTTTGTTTACGCTACTTCTACTTTTATGCTGCTACTTGTCAAAAGCCTGTTCAGCACCTAAACAGTCACTTTATTGCAGAATGTCTTGCGTGGTGTATGCAAACTAATTATAAAAGTATGTCCATTCCTACTTAATGTATGCAAACTGCCTGTTTAAGTATGCATAGCTTTAGGTGATTTGCATGCATTACCTGTTGGAGTATGATTAATGTAATGTGATCTGTACATGCAGATGACATATACGTAGGTTTGTGTGCTGTATGCTCACTTTATCTGGAAGCACGCTGAGTCTTACAATTATTTAAAGTATGTGCTGGCTTAAGCGAGACTCTTTCTATACCTTGTTTTGCGAACTTGTTTTTTTAAAGATCACCAGAGGAGGGCGGAAAAAAATATAAATAAAATGTTATTCGTGAATGTAAACAGTTAAATAATGGGATGGGTAAATGCTTTAAATTTATGTAATTAGGAAGGAAAATACATACCTTGTTTTTGGAGATTTCAAGGCATCTGCGGGCATAATAAAAACAAAAAAAAATTTTTTCTGAAATTTCCATTTTTTTCGTGGCTGTGAGTGCGCTAATTGGCCAAAAATACAATTTAATTTTTATTCGAACTCACCATTATATGCGGGCAGCAGGTTCGCTAAACAAGGAATAAAAAAAGTCTCACTGTACGCTCACTACTTGGAAGATGTTTAGTCTTTGTGTGATCTGCGCACACAGATATTATTTGTGTGATGTGTGTTCAATTTTTATAGAATAAGTGTAAATGTGATATAATACGCACACAGTTGAAGTGTAGTCTTAATTCAGTGTGAGTATAGTAATTGTAGATGCTTTTTGTGACATGCACAATTACGCTCAGATGTAAGTAATCCTTATAAAATCATATATTTCACACTAACAGTAAGTGTATAAAAATATTCTGGGAGTACTAGTAAGTATTAGTGGTCTCAGATTTGCTGCTGGTTGTGGGTAAATGTGGTTTCTAATTTCAGGTTTTGTAAAGTTTTATTGTTTCAATGAAATGTGTTTAGCAATACGTTTGACACTATAGTAAAAGTTAATTTACAAATTCCTTTAGTAGGAAAACTAAATAGAAATAATTCATAATTCAGTTTCGTAACTAATGTATCCTTTGAGGTATAAACAAAGCCAGGCATAGACAGTCAGATTTTTGTCTGTCAGATTCCACAGACATAACTTGTTTGGTCAGATATTTTTGAAACAAGCATTATACTATAAAGTCCTCTCCAGACTAAATATGGTCATTATAACTTCACATCATGACCATATATAGGCACATCATTACTATTACTGGACACAAAATCTGTCAAAATTTGATGCCATGCTCAAGTAAGCCTAGATGTTACATTATCAAATTTTGTTTGACAAAATTATGTGGCATGCCTATGGTCATGATGACATCACTTTGTAACCATATATCATGACTATATCTTGTCATACAAGTTTTTTGTCTAAGGAAAATTGTATAGTGTGGACTAAGAGTAAGATGTGTAGCATTGATACACTTCAGCAGCACAACTAATTTTGGACACACACTTTTTTATACAGTCTTATCTATTTGCTATGTGGCTATTGATTACTGCAAATGCATATTGTCTTGATAACCTGTCATTCAAATTTAACTTCTTCACATGCACAGTTTGTCATCATGCACGTATAAAATTGATTTCATGCACTGACAGTCTTCACCTGGAAGATATTTGATATGCGTTTTTTTTTGTTGTTGATCATGTTTGTAGTTTTATACGTTAGGGTTTTATACGTGCAGTAATTTTGCAACACAATACTGTATCATATTTTCAATTATCTGCATGCAGTCGTCGTGTGTCCCAAGTCTCTCCACATACTCATATGTCCAATTATGCTCTACACATCAGCATGTGTCTAGTTATCCTCTACACACAGGTTGTGACTAATTCCCTGCACACAGTTATGTGTCCATTATACTCACGACACAGTTTGTGTCCAATTCCCTACACACCAGCATGTGAAGAAGCACACACATTTCCCATGGCATATACTGTGTCTGCTTCCATCCATGTTGATGATTTTCCAAACTTGTTTTCAAAGGTTCTGTAGAGGATGTGAAATAGTGTGTGACTCTTTGAAGTTTAATCATGGTACTACATACATTGCTGTGGACTGGGAACCCACAGCGTTGCACCTTAGGTACCAATCATCTCAGGAAAGGGTAAGGGTTATAATTAGTTTTTCGTATTTCATTTATTATTTATTAGAAATACAATTGAAAAATGAATTATTATTAAATATAGAGTATTTAAGAAGATGTTGAAAACTCTATTGTTTCCTTCTGATTAGGAATTAACTATTACTAGATGCCAACATCATTCGAGCACCTGTGTATACTGTTCTGGCGGGCCTTGCGCCTTAAATTGCTGGGGAATGGTGCGGTGGTGTTTGGTTTCATCTGCGTTGTTTTATTTTTTTTTCTCTCTTTTTCTGGTTTTCTATGTAAATGATGTAATATATGTAATAACATAAGTCAGCTGATCTTGGGCTGAAGAATCCATTTGAATTAATAAAAAATGAAGCCGGCCACTGTCATGTTATGTATATATTTTAAAAAGTTTTCCAAATCTCTGTGGTCAGTGTTACTAAATAAGTTGAAATCCTTAACCTGGTACACAACCTTTCAATTCAGTATTATTTGCTCCAAGAGCTACCAGTGGGCTATTATTCACTATACACAGGAAACAATTACATTTACATTCATCCATATACAGTTGCAATAGCCAAAAAAATCAAGATAATATAAACTAACTAAACAAGTATAGATCAATGTGTTACAAGGAGAGCAGTACAGACATTTGAACCTGATTCAATCCAACGCTGCTCACTTTGTGTTCCAGCTTGAAGACTGGAGTCCTAGAGACAATATTGATTTCATGTGATTTTGTAATTATCTTTCTAAATTCAAATTTAGGTTGTC